ATTGTTTATTTAATGCTGTATTTATTTATTTAATTCCACATTTAATTAATTATTGACACATTTAATTGTTTATTTAATGCTGTATTTATTTATTTAATTTTGGCACTTTTTATCCTCCATAGCTGTGTGGGAAGAACAGGGTAAGGGTTCGGAGCTTAACGAGATTTTCTTAACCTGTTGCCCTTAACATTAGTGAAGGGCTGATAATCCTCCATCACTATATAGACTAAGGTCTCTCCACATCATCGTTCTCCCCTTAATGAAAGAAACATAGTATTGATAAAATCATACAACTACAAAAACATACCGTGTAATGAAAATGTATTATTATCATTTTTATGTTGCTTTGTTATAGTTTTCCAAAATTCTATGAATTTTAATTCAACAAATTATATTTACATAGACGTCTTCAAAGTTATACCGAGGCACTTTACAGATACAATTCACTCAGATCACACAGTATGATTGGTTAAGAGGTTTCTATCACTCCTTCTGAATGAGCATGGGGTGACAGTTAAGCAGATGAGCTATGAGTCAGTTTTCGTGTCAAAATGGATAAAAGAGAGCACATCCAGTCAATCACTCTAAGAGCACAGTCCATAGTTATGTCTAGGAGAGAAACAGGGCCAACTATATAATCTATATTTGATGTTGATTGCGGCAGCCCAGTTACTTCCTGGAGAGAGACAGGACTAATCACAAAAAAAAGGCCCACATTTATCATCAATAATTGGAGGTGATGATGGCAGCACTCTAGCTAATGTTTCCCTTCAGGATGGTTTAAAAACCATACACGAGCAAAACAGATGAAGCTACTATAAGAAAAAAAAAAATAGAGGGGACATCCAGTTAGGGGGTGAAATAACAATTACTTCAGAATGGGAGAATATAGATAAAATGAAGCAGAGTCATAAAAACTGGTCCCTATGTCCTCCTGCAGCCTAAGCCTATAGCAGCATAACTACAGAGATAACAGGATAACAATGAGCCAATCAAACTACAATGCGGAGTGGCGGCCAAGTGAGAGGAGTGGCGGCCAAGTGGTTAGGGCATAGAACTTGGAATCCTAAGGTTGTGAGTTTAAAACCCACTCCCACAGACTGCCAGTCTGGATCTCTGAGCAAGACCCTTAACCCCTGATTCTTCCCTGAGCGCCCCACACTGGCAGCCCACTGCTCCCTATGGGGATAGGTTAAATGCAGAGGTAAATTCCTCCAATGTGAGGTGATAAAGTTCAATTATACTATAAGCTTTATCAAAATGGAAACTTTTATGCCTTGCCTTAAAAGTGCACAGGATGACTGCCTCACAGACTAAAACTGTCATGATCTTGGCACCAATGACTGGCTTTATGGTTCATTCCATTCACCTGTCTAGCTCTGCCCAGTTTCTCAACACTGTTTATCTGTGTCACCTGCTCTAGTCTCTATTTAGATTGCTTGTTCCCAGTATTCAGTGCCAGATAATTCAAGCCTTCGGTGACAGTTCTCTAGCTTACCTGTTGGTGTTCTGATTGCCTTATCCTGACCCATTTTCTCTTCAGACCTTTGAGCCTTCCTGTGCCTGTTCTGATTTTTTCCTGTGTGTGTGGATTTTATTGTGCTTGTGTGAGTCGTGCTGTGCATGTGTGGATCTTATCCTGTGCATGTATGAATCACATGTGTGTATTTGTGAAAATTGAGATATAATTGAAATATAATTAACGTGATATTTGAAACCTGTTGATACAATTTTTTTCTCAGGAGGAGCAGTGTTCTTTTCATCCTGGCCATAGAACACTGGATCAGCTCTACACCCTCAGCAGGATCCTGGAGGGGAGTTTGAACCACCATACATGTGTTTTGTGGGTCTGGAAAGCATTCGGGAAGTCCTGGGGGGGTACTCTGTTGTATGGTTAAACAAGTTTTACTTCATTGCCTTTTAAGACAGAAGACTCAAAATGTGTATTTTTTTATGCTTTAAGTCAATCTAAATCTATTTTGTGAAACTTTTTTAAGTTAAACTCAAGGATTTTTTTACAACCCTAAATTATAATTTTGATTTAATGTTTTATTTCTAATTGAAGAATGAAGATTTCGTTGCTTTGGGAATTGCGGATTTGAACATTACACAAATAAAATACTCTTATGAAAAGGTTGCAGGGAAATAAATCTCTTTTGATTCCAAATTAAAAAACAAAATTGAAGTCAGTAGTGGTTCTAAACCGCTTCCATCAGCGGGGCGAGGAGGATTTTCTTTTGGGCAAATAACAAAAGAATAAAATCAAAAATACAGGACAATAGTTCATTATTTGATACATCAAGAAAGCCAAATTCCTTTCATGCCTGGACAGGGCCGTAACCAGGATTTTAGAAATACCGAGGTCAAATATTGCAGTGTATTCTCATTATCAGTTCGTATGAAATGGTACGAAAAGTGATGCACAATCATTTCGGACGTTTTTGACGCTTTTTTCGTCGTATTTCGTCGTATTTTTACGTCTTGCCTTGAGACAAGATATCCTTGCGCATGCGCATCTTAGGCACCATTTAATAACATAGAATTTAACCTACAATTAACCCTACACCTATTCCTACACCTAACCCTAAGATACAAAACAGCAAGCAATGTAGTTAGAGACATCAAGAAGTAATTATTGCACTGTCTTTCCCAGTTTTACGTCCGTCCGCAGATCTGCTTTTTTCATCTGTCTGGCTGCGCACAGATCAGTTTTTTCGAGAAAAAACATTAAAAACGTACGAAATACTGTGCATAACATTTCGTATGATTTCCTACGAACTGATAATGAGAATATGTTGAATATTGACATAAATCTTACTTGACAAAAAAACATCCTAATATGGACTTTTTAAAATATATTTTGGAAACATGAATAAAGAGAAATAAATCACAAGCCCATCAAGGAGGTGAATATGAACATGTTTGTTATAACAATTCCAAAGCTCACAAAATTAGAGTATTTAAGTGAATGAGTGTTATTATTATCATCATTATAGTATATTATTATTGTTGTTATTAATATTGAATTATTATTACTACTATTATTATTGTCATCATCATCATCAGCAGCACCCACTAAAAAAAGAAAAAAAGGACCAACAACAAAAGATGGACGACTTTTTTTTAAAAAAAAAAGAAGAAAGCATGATCATCGCACCAACAAAAAAAACAACAACAATCATCATAAAATAGGAAGACATTCTGAAGAAAAAAAAAATAATGATTAAAAAAATAAATAAACGGGAAAATACGGAGGACATGACCTCAGTGTTCAAAATGCTGGTTACAAAGCTGTGCCTGGAGATCCTGATCTATCCTATATAACTGAAGCTAAAGATGCAATTTTATAATAATTGTTAAACTAAACCTGTATGTTTAAAAAAAAAAAAAACTACATTTGTCCAAGGGATCAATTCTGTGCTAATGCATATCATGATCTAAAACTGATTTGGTGCCTTCAATGGAGGGGCCATCCAGTTCTGCTGGGGCACTGGCCCCTGCTGGCCCCCATTTAGAACCAGCCATGCATGAAGTAGATGAATAAACAAAAATATTATTATATTATATATATTATTTATGTTTTGTTTAATTTTATGTTTATATTTGCTTATTTGTCTGAAAATTGGCTTATGAAAAAAAAAAACACGACAAAATCAATATCTGAAAGCTTTGGTTCAGATCGTTGGTGCTGATGAGGAGGATGAGCGGAGCGGGTGGAGCCAGGCTGGGATCAGAGACAGATTGTGCTCAATGACCGGAGAATCCTCCAGTTTTTATTTCTCCAGCATCAAATCAACCCGCATGTGTGACCCAGGATCGGCCTGCTGCTGGACCGGAGCTGCAGACATTTTCCCCATCAGTCACAGATGGATGCTGCTCTGTCCTGAAGGAGGAGGAGGAGAAAAACATCAGTGCATTGTTGCTCAGCCTCCAGCCTGGAGAGGCGATGACAGGCAGGAGAGACGCGATCCTTTCTTTATTCTAAGGACCGCATCTCTGTCAGCGATGCGAAACGCTTTGTGATTTTCATTTCGTCATCCTGTCAAATAATTATGAACAACGCGCAGGATATGTCGCCTGATTTCGTGTTGATGCGCCTGGTGTCCGCCGCCGAGGATGGCCGCCTGGACTCAGAAAACGGGAACGTTCAGTCTGGGGGGACGGTGGCCGGGAAGGGGAAGGACGCGCTGGTTAACAGCGCCGTTAAACCGGCTTTGGACATCAGCCGAGAGCCGGGCCTGCAGCGTCCCTGCAGCCTGCAGAACAAAGGCCAGAGCAGCGAGACCACGGCTGCAGCTGACAGCGGGGGGACGCAGGGCCCCAAGCAGACAACCCAGGGCTCCATGGGGCCCCAGGGGTTTGACTTTGTCCCCAGCCCCGGCCTGCGCCCGCAGCTGCTTGTCTTCTCCAACATTATGCGGAGCGGAGATCTGGACCGTCTCCCTGCGCCGAGGGACGCACTGGAACCGAGCCCAGCTGTCAACAACAACCGCCCTGCTGGAGAAGAGGGGCCCCGGGACCCGATGGGTCAGACACCGTCAGCAGCGCAGCTTCCAGTCCCTTCAGCCGCGGAGGGTCCGGGAGCCGCAGAGCTGTGCCATCGGTTCATTACCACCCCCAACGCCTGGCCTCTGCTGGCGGACACCTCCGGACCTGAGAGCTGCAGGGAGCAGCAGGAGGCGGTGCTGGAGCTGGCCCGGCGGTTCGGGGAGCTGGGGGTGGGAGCGGTACCCAGGATGCTGCTGAAAGGAGCGGAGCTGCCGCAGTGCTCCTGTCAGGGCGCCCAGGGTGCAGAACCCAGGGATGACCCCACAGAGACCAGCGATGCTCTGCTGGTCCTGGAGGGGCTGGGGGGTAGGGGCATGGAGGAGGGCCCTGGGGAGGAGCTGGATGCTGATGATGGACACAGGGAGTTTTTACTCCAAAGGAAAAGAGAAATAATCCAAAAGATGTCTGGGGCTTTCTCCATCAGCAGCTTCCAGGTGGAACTGAGGACACAGATGGAGGAAATGGGCCAGCCAGGAACCGCTGATCCAGAAAGTTCCACTCAGGCATTAACAAAGACATCAACACCTGTCCAGAACTCCCCCTGGACCACTAGCCCAAACCCAAGCCAGTCCTCCACTCCCAGAAGGGCAAAGCGGTGCACAGGTGGCCCCAGGACCCCCACATACCGAACCGCAGGCGGAGACAAGACATTCAAGGTTCCAGGGAAGTCCAAGAAGAACTCTTTGAAGACCCGCCTGAGTAAACTGTTCCGGACTAAAAGCTGCAGCGGGTCGACTCACATCCTGGACAAAAGGCCCTCAGTGTCTTATTCAGTATCCTCAGCTGTGAGTCTGGTGGACATGGAAGGTGGTTCTGGAGCTGAACAGGATGCTGACAGGTGGGTCCAATAAAAGAATCAGACCATGATAAAAGTTATAGAAATACAAACATCAGCAAACCGGCAGATACGCAGAATAGTCTACAGGTCAGAAAACAAGGCTGAGCACTTTGTTTGAAATAAAACAAATAGATTTAAACATCCCATCCTGCATACGACAATCTATACAAAACAATCCTAAAACAGGGATATACTTAATATTTGCAGTGATCAGTAGATTTAATAATCCTGTACAAAAGTCTGGAGTCACCATCTTTACTTCTTTACATTTTGCTTCCAAATGAAGAAACTATAAGAAGATGATCATAAATAAAGAGTCTAAATCCCACAGAGTTAATCTATTTGCAAAATGTTTAATTAAGTGCATTTTTTTTTGGAAGTGAATATTGGAAGCTTTATTTGATGACATGAAACTAAATGAAATTTGTTCTTAAATTATCTAAAACGGAACAAATTTCTCTTAAAATATATTTTATGACCTTGAAAATTCAGTTTGAATCATTTTACATCCTGTTCCAGAATTAAATTTCAATTCTTGATTTTGTGCCACACATCTGGGTTCATTGAATAAAACCAGAGTAATCCAACACAGATTCACGTAATGCCAAAAAACAAACAGCAAAACTCGTATTTGTTTTTTTTGTTTTTTGGTTTTCTAAAATGCATAAGAAGCATCGGAAAAACAAATATCCTGCATGTCATCCAGGTGAATATGGGCTGTCCTACTCAATAACATCCATCAACAGCTGCTGCACTAACAGGAACACTGTTGATCAAAGACTAGTTTGTCACAACCTGATCCGTACCATCAGCTCATTTGCGCATCCAGAAATATAAGTAGGGTCACAAGAATTAATGCATTTACATCCTATTGTATCACTCATCTCTACGCGATCTGTCCAGGAAATGCAATCCCTGCCCTACTTCCAGAAGCATATTGTTCTGCTTTTGATTGTTAATAATTGTCATTTTTCTTGGTTTTATCATTGCATTTTATCGTACCTATACAGTATAAAGTGCTTAAGCTAAAGAATGATGCCGCTAAAATACAGATAAACACGGTGTAATCATATTTCTGCTTTAAACATATCTGACGATATCAGCAATAGGGGTGTAAATCACACCCATCATGGCGATTCGATTCAGTATCGATTTCCTGACCCACCGATTCAATTATTTTCGATACTCAAGAATACACCACGATTCGATTCATCGATCAATATATTTTTTTTTTATATACCTTACAGGCTAAACAAAGTTTCAAGTTTGAAATAAAGCAATGAAAGCTGTAATATCGTTATGCTTTTTTTTTTTTTTTTTTTTAGAAACAACAGCAAATAACAGAAGTAGAAAAGTTGCATCAAAAAATACTGCAAAAATTCTGCACAAAATCAGTGCAATGGGTGCAATTCCGCTCCAGACGTCCCGCCCCCTCCACAGATGTTTCGTTGCTCCTCTCCCAAATTGTAGCTGACCCCAAACAGTGCCGCAGACAGGAGGCCGGCTTGTTTTGTTTTTATGACCGAAATTGCGGAAAACAACTCGTGAAGTTTGACCCGCTAGAAGAGCGAGGTGCGCGAGAACGTCGGGACCCTTTTTCCACCTGGATCTCCGCTCTTTTTGGCCCTCATGTCCCTCCGTCATCGGACTAAACTCGCCCCCACTTTCTCACCGCCTCGGCCGTATCTAGACCCACAGCGTGTAGCACAGACCGCACTTCAATAATGAGCATAAATCAAAAATGTCTGTGTCAAGCTTAATGCAACACACTGCTATAAGAGTATAACCAGGAAGCGA